CTCTCTCCCTTCCTTCCTTCCTGTTTTCCCACATAAAGATCTAAAATTTCCAGCACCAGTTTTTGAGTAGACTCTCTTTTTCCCATTGCCCATTGAATATTCTTGTCTCCTTTGTGAAATATTAGTTGACTGTGTATGCATGGGTTTATTTCTGGGCTCTTAGTTCTCTTCCATTGCTGTATTTGTCTCTTTTTGTTTGTTTGTTTGTTTGTTTTAATGGCAGTACTATAGTATTTTGTATAATATAATTTGAAATCTGGAATTGTGATGCCTCCAACTTTGTTCTTTTTTCCAAGGGTTGCTTTGGCTATTTGGGGTCTTTTGTGGTTCCAAAAAAATGTTACTTTTTTTTTTTCCTGTAAGAAACGCCATTGGACTCTTGCTGGGGATTGCATTGAATCTATAGATGACTTTGGGTAGTATGCACATTTTAACAATATTTTCCAATCCATGAGCACAGGATATCTCTCAAATTATTTGTGGCTTTTTTCTTTTCCATTTATTTCATTAATGTTTTATAGTGTTCAGTGTGCAGATCTTTCACCTCCTTGGTTAAATTTATTCCTAAGTATTTTATTGTTTTTGATACTTTTGCAAATGGGATAATTTTCTTTCTTTTTTATATCAATCGTTGTAAGTGTATAGAAACGCTACTGATTGTGTTGATTTTGTATCCTGTGACTTCTGAATTCTTTGATTAGATCCAAAAGATTTTTTTTTTTTTCTTTTTTGGTGGAATCTTTAGGATTTTATATATATAATATCATGTCATCTGCAAACAGAGATAGTTTTATTTCTTCTTTTCTAATTTGGATGGCTTTAATTTTTTATTTTTTTGCACGATTCCTCTGTCTAGAACTTCCCGAGCTATGTGAGTAGGAGTGGTATGAGTGGACACCTTTTTCTTGTTTCTGATCTTTGAGGAGAAACTTTAAACCTTTCACCCTTGAGTATGATGTTAGCTGTGAGCTTGTCATATATGGTCTTTATTATATTAAGGTACATTCCTTCTATACCCAATTTGTTGAGAATTTCTTTTTATCATAAATGGACGTTGAATTCTGTAAAATGCTCATTCTGCATCTGTTGGGAAGATCATATATTTTTTATCCTTCATTCTATTTATATGATGTTTCACATTTATTAATTTTTTTGTATGTTAAATTGTCCTCATTTTGCAGGGTGAGTCCCATTTAATCAGGATGTATGATTCTTTTAAGGTGCTATTGAATTTAGTTTGCTAGCATTTTTTTGAGAATTTTTACATCTACATTTACAAGGTATATCGGCCTATTGTTTCCTTTTTTTTTTTTTATAGTATCCATCTCTGGCTTTGATATCCAGGTAATACCGCCCTTACAAAACGAGTTTGAAGTGTTCCCTACTCTTCTGTTTCTTTGGAAAGTTTTGAAAAGGATTGGCGTTAATTTTTTAAAAGTTCGATAAAATTCACCAGTGAAACCATCTGATACTGGGCTTTTCTTGGTTTGAGAGTGTTTGATTACTGATTCAGTCTCCCTACTCATTATTGACCTGTTCAGATTTTCTATTCATGATTCAGTCTTAGTAGGTTGTTATGTTTCTAGGATTTAACCATTTCTTCTAGATTTTCCAATTTGTTGGCATATAATTGTTCATAGTACTATCTTATGATCCTTCATATTTATGTGGTATCAGTTATATTATCTCCTTCTGTAAGATGGAGATAGTAACACCCAACTCTAGAAGTCAGATGAGATAATTTGCATAAAACATCTAGAAATGCATCTGGTGCTCAATCAGGGCTAAACAAAAGTGAGTTATTCTCTGAAGGAAATATCAATAAAACAGTTTTTCTTATGGAATGGATGGAAATTTGAAAAGAGAAGGCACAACAACTGAGAGACTAGAACCTCTATTCGCAGTATAGAGTCCACAATTTGTTTTATTTTATTTTTTTAAAATGTAAATGACTTAGGAACAAAGGAGTGTTAGCTTTTTAAGATTTACGTGGTCAGTTAAACAATAAAAATCAAAATGTATGTGTTACTTAAGAGTTCCATGCAAAAATCACACATTGGCCAGGTATAATTATTAAAACTTCAATTTTTCTCACTTTGAAATTTTCAAGCATTTGTAAAATGACCTTCTAAAACCTTGCTGTTCATTAGAGCAATTGAATCACGGAAGAGATTTTGTTTTGTTTTGTTTTTCAGTGTTGCTGAGCCTTATCTTTCTGGCATAGGACTATTTTGTTATGTTTCTTTTATTTTATAATAAGAAAATTTTTAAATGTTACTTTTCAATTATAAGAGTAGAACCAACATTTTAGTTTTTAGAAGACAATTATTACGTCTAAATACTACTGGGAAATAATTCTATTTTTTAATTTTTCAAAACTAATGGTGTCATTTTACTTTACTTTGACTAATATCATCCTAGAGAATATTTATTAGGTAATTTTTATGATTTTAAGGAGTGAAAAATGTCTGAAAATTCTAAGGGTATATTTTCTTATGAGAATGCTATGTTGACTTTATTATATCAGTTAAAAGTTAAATGAATATGCTTTATCATTTCTGAATAATATGGTATATATAAGGAATACTAAAATTTTAGTTTTATGATGGCCAAAGAAATGTCAGTGGTTTAAAAACAATATGGATCTTGAATTTCTTTTGATTTGTCATTGTAAGCATTTATAAACTTTATTCCTCATGGATATGCACATTTGAAGTTAATATGTGATTTTTACAATGATTCTTGAAAAGTTGAAACTTAAATAATTGCAGATACCTGTGTCTGGTTAAGTGTGCATTGTCCTTAAAATTTGAGCTTAATCTTTGCTATTATTTGAACAGGTGTCTCAACGCTTGTACTTACTGCAAAACTAAACACGCTAGAGGAAATTTGGCCAGTTATCCAATTGATGAGCTAGTAGACAGAGCCAAACAGTCTTTTCAAGGTAAGAGTTGTCTATGATTGTTTACAACTTTAGTCTTCTTGATAAATTATAGTAATCTTCTAAGAAGCGCTTTACATATGTGCTTCTTTAACTTTACGAAAGTTTATAAATGTTTCAACTTACCTTGTAGTAGATATTGCCAGATGTAACCTATTAGGTTATAATCATGTTACTCTTCTTTCAACACTGTTTCATTTTTTTTATGACTCTAAGGTATGCGACATAATTTGAACTTTACCACCTATCTTTAGATTCCATGGAAAAGACAAAAAAATTAAAATGAAACCCATGACCTGATGTGTGTTAAGACTTTTGTAGACTGAGTGATATACTTTTTAATATTTTTCTCTCTTTGATCATTTTTAGACCACTTAGGAAATCTATTAAGGGTTACAGGGGTCTTGGAAGGAGAAGGTAGATTTTTCTATCAGCCAGTAAAGATAACCTTCCTTATACACAGGGGTGTTGGACCAGTAAAGAATGATACTGGTAGAGACCCCTAAAGAGAATGATTCTTTGTGTGGGTGGCCACCTACTTCTGAATCATCACTTGCTGGAAAATCTGATTGTCTAGGTATCTCTTAGCACATAGCGAGACTTATCTTCTACATGAGTCATTGTTGTTTGACACATAACTGCTTAAACCATGAACTTCCTCTTTTATCTTTGTTTATAATATGTGTATATAATATTGGTGTGTTTTTACACCCAACATGAGATAATCTATTATCTCATAATCTTGTGGGTTAATAGTTATTTGGCAATATGCTTAGTAATTTGTAGTGCCACTTTCAGTACTTTATATTCTGAATTTCAAAGTTATGAGTTCCAAACACATTTTTTTAGTTTGCCTATGTAAAGCTTTTATCAACATGAATTTGGAATGCACTTTACAATAGAGAGAAAAATATTCTTGACGGGTTTATTAACACCTCCCAACAATTTTTTCGACTTTTATATTCTTAGTTCAGTCCCCTCTTCTGTTCCCATTCAATTTGTATTGAACAAGAAATAAAAGGAAACTCACTGACTCTTGTCAGTTTTCTGTTTGGAGCCAGGTAATTATCTAATCTGAGAAAAAGTGTGTGTCGCTGTTTTTTCTACCACAGCTTCTTTAAGAATTTTTAAGAAAGTGTGTAAATTTGCACAGAAACCTAATCTATTTGAAAAATATGCCTTTTCTGGCATTCTTACTTGATTATCTAATCTGTCGGTTAATGGAGATATTAAAACTATGTGATTTTTTCCACCAAATACTGAAAATTGGAAGGCATATGAATTCGTTCCTTTGAGGTACTTTTTCAACATTATGCATTTTTAAGTGCAACTACATATAACTTTACTTTTTATTTTTTATTTTTATGCCTACAGCACCAGGTCTTCTTAGATAGGGTCTCCCATCTAAGTACTAACCAGGCCCGACCCTGCTTAGCTTCCGAGATCAGATGGGATTGGGCTTGTTCAGGGTGACATGGCCATAGACAACTACATATATCTTTTAAAAGTTCTCATTTTACTCTGAAAATTTATTTGAAAAATGTAAAGCTATTAAATCACCATGTAAGAAGTGAAAGTATTCCCTTGGTTCCCTCATATCACTGTCACCTATAACCCATCCTAACACTTTGATATGATTGTTTCATGATTTAATAGGGATGTATTTGTGTATGATATGTGACTTGAGAAAAAAGAGGAAACATAGTTTTTATAAAGTGATTATAGAATTATTCTAGAGATATCCAACCAACTTAGCTCTCTGATTTATCTTTAGAAATGCCATCTGAGCAACAAAGGTGCAGTGTGTTACTTCTTTCAGACTTTATTAGTCATTAATATTGACATATCCAGGTGAGTTGGGCTAGTTAAAATGAGTGATTCAAAAAATACAATATCAGAGATTAGGAGAGACAGTGGCTACTTGGAGAGAAAGTATTAGAAGAGATTTATTTAGTATTACTTTCATCATCATCAGTAGATATACATTTGTCTTTTTATTTGCAATGTACAGTTTTTCTGTTTTCTTCTTATCTATATATTAGAGTTGAAACTGAATGCTAGTTTTTGGACTGGTGAGCTCATTTGCTTGCTGTGTGGTACCATTACTAAAATAATGAGGTCATAACTTTCTAGAAAAGCCATTATATTTAGGAAAATTCCAAGTCGTCAAGTATTTGATGCTCTTTGCCGTAGGAGAGTTTGAATTTGAAACAGTGTTCTGCCGCTTACCAGCCACATGGTCTGAACAAGGTACCTGACCTCTCCAAGCCATGGTTTCCTCATTACTGTGACATGCAGTGTTGTTTCTTGTTAGAATTTGAGATAACTTATATGAAGTAATTGCCTGTGTCCTTATTATGAAGAAGATATGTTAATTAACTGAAGGAGTTTAAAGTAAGTGAGAATATTGGAATATCCATAACAAACATTAATGACTAGAAACAAATGACAGATTTTCATTTGCTTTTAAAATATGTTCTGTGAAAAATGTCTCTATAGATAGAAATTATTTAGTATAAAAATTACATTTCATTTTCTTAATTTTAGAAAAGTAAATTCATGCTAAGATAGCCTTATATTATAAATTCCTTTCCACTATAGGAAATATCAGTCTATAAGCTCACATTTTAAAGGCATTGAGTTAGTGCAACATCTTGTTTTCTGCAAAAGATTGGAATTTTAATGGTCTTATAGAATTCCTGTTAGAGCTTTAAAATTGTGAAGAATAATACATAATTATGTATTATGTGAAGATAAACATAATAGAACAAATAATCCATTTTCTTATTATGAGTTTTACATATTTCTTTCTTTGGAATATATAACTCAAATTTTTGGAATATTTTTGGGGATACAACCTTTTAAATTCTGCATTATACCAGTATTGTTCTATAATGAATAATAAACATTATGGTTCTTTGAAAGGTTGTGTTAAGATGAAAAATCTAAATATGCTGCCAATAAATTTTTAGCACTATGATTAAAGTCAGTAGAAATTAAATTTCCCATCTTGAAAATTCCATTTGCTTTTTTCTTCTTAAAATTTATAATCACTGTGTGACAGAAATACAAAGTGATTTTTAAGAAGTCTAAGTCAATTGTAGAATGAGGATTAGAACCCAGGTTGCTTGTCATGTGATACAATTAAGATCACAATTTCTTTCTGAATAGCATATTTATGAAACATTTTATATCCATAAAAATGTATTTCTTAGTAATCTAATGAATGTGAAGAGACTAAGGGCTAACACAAAGGCAAGGGAGCATTGAGAAGAGATTCATGAAATCATTCTGAATGTAAAGTGGTTTCTCAAAGGATTAAAAATATGCTGACTATACATTCAGCTGCCAAAAAAAAAAAAAAAATGAGAAAGGCAGCTCATTAACTTTTGAATGAATAGCGTTAAAGTCAAATTATATTTTTAAATAGAAGCTTTAGTTTACCTTTTACAAATGTGTGTGTATATTTCTATTTAATTGGTTTCCTAGCTTTTTTTCTTTTTTTCTCAGTGAACCTAGAACCCTTGACATTTTCACTGACTATTTTTACCTTCTCTATGTGTTTATCATTTTTGTGGGCAGTTCTACATATAAGATTTACCAAATAATTTCTGGATATCATCTCCTTGTTCTAACAGACTGTTGGGAAACCTCCCACCTCACTTCCTTACCTCTGCCAAGATTTAAGTTTTAAAAATTCCTGGGCATAATAGTGTCTGAGGGGTGGGGTTGAGTTTTAGATATCTAGAAAAACATGTCACGCAATGACCAGGACTTTATTGAGGCCAGAATGAATTGACAAGCTAGTGTTTTCTAGCATATTTGTATTGATTTTTCTCAAGCAGCTAATCAATCAGTTTCAGTTGTATAAGTGATGGAGCAAACCTTTTTAAGTGTGCTGAGTGAGTGGTGTGGAAACAACACCTTTCACTGCTGTCTCTGGAATCAAAATGTGGAGATGATGGATGAGCTGTTTTTATAGTTGCTGTGTGCTTTTCTAGATCTCATTTGTGTGTTGCTACTTTTTTTCCCTCTCTCATAAAATGAAAAAAAAAAAAAAAAACCCACAAGATAAGTTGCGTACACTGGTTAGGGAAAAGTAAATGAATTAAGATGAAATAGTCAAGGGAGAAAATTTTTTGATCTTTAGTGATCTTAGTATTAATGATGGAATTTTCAAAAATGAATTCTGTTTTATTTTAAGATTTGCAAAGATACTGTCTACGGTATATAAAATTAATTTTGAAATGCAACTGCAAAACATTGCTTCCTGCTCTTTTAGATTGGAAAGAATATGAGCAATATTTGATTTTCTGATGTATAAACTTCATATTGTTGAGTGGTATGGTTTACATCAAACCATATTCGACTGATCACTTTTAGCAATGATTATTATATATTGATTTTGATATAAGATCGAAAAGAGACCAATAATTGTATCCTATTAATTTATAAGGCAGTTATTTAAATCTCTTTTATTCCTTTATTTTTTCATTTGTGTCTTGTTCACATAAAATCAAATAATCTATTTCTTCTAAAGGATTAATAATGTTAATTTGTAAGACTTTTTGTACATCATCAACTCCCCAAATGGATTTCAGGTAGCGTATATTAAATGATTGTATATAATAGACCATGAAAATAAAAGCTGTATGAAATACTGTACTGTGTTTAGAAAGGTGGAAGATGATTTTACCAACTCGTAAATCCTGGCTCTCCAGAAGAGTAAGGAAATAGGGCGATTTATATTATTTGATATGAGTATGTAAAAGGGAGTATATAGTTTATAATGAGAAATGTACATGTTTCTAGGCTGTGAACACTAAGAAGAATTATTTTCGTACATCCTTTTCTAAGAGACATTGAATAATAGAAATGCCCGTGGCTGCTAATATATAGAAATTCAAGATATTGTCTTTACATAGTCTTTTCTTATGTTGATTCTTACAAAACCCCAAAATATAATATTAAAATGTAACTTTTAAAAGAATTTTAATGGGAGA